AAAAAAAAGGTTTCGAACATACTGTAAATCATACAAAGCAGAATGAGCAAATATATACCATAAATTGCACAACAAAATTGAAATTGACACTGTCTTAGAATGGCAAAATCAATTCCAAAGGAAAAGAAGAAAATGAAAGTGAATAAATGAAAATAAAGAGTCTATTATTCGCCATACAATACACCATGTGTTTAGTCATTTGTTCAACCTTCATGAACACGTAGATTTCATAATGAAGGCAACTGTTTTTGCTTAACTTTTATTCGCACGCTCACTTCAGTTTTGGGGTTTCCAGAGGATGTCATCCATATAATCAAATCAACATGGCCTCATGGCAATCACATGTTACCATCATGAATATTGGGAAAGTGTGTCAGAGGCTATGGAGGGGTATACGTAATCCTTGCTTTGTATACATTTTCAACCAATCGCATATCATGTCGGCATCTCCATGGCAATATCACCATGGCTAAGAAAGTCTTTTAAAAATGCAATTTTGAGGAAAAAATGGATCATATCTAAATTCTCAAAGTAGATTAATACCCTTCATATCCTCTGATGCTGTTATATTTTGATATCCAGTAATAAAATATGATTGCCATAATGTGATAAACTGACAAACAAGTTATCATGTACTCATATACCAGATAACTTGATTATCAATAGGTTTACCCAATCTAAACATGTGTCCAGATTAGGTGGTTATCACTATAAAATTTAAATATCACATCTGTAGCATACAGCAGAAGAAAACAGCACAACATCAACTGTTAATTGATAATGGACTTGGTTAGTAATTATGATAAACATATTTAACCAACAATGTCAAGTAACAAACATATACAAAAGCTGTTTACAAACTTGTGGCTTGTTGATCTATTTACACTTGGGAGAATTTCCATCTCCATCATGACTCAGCTATAGAGAATACATCATAAAAACTTCCATCTCCAACAAATACTCCTTACATCAGTTTTCTAACTTTTCATCTAAACCTCAGGCGGAAGACTTTCTCTTAATACCTTTTCCTCACAGACCAACTGTAGGCCTAGAAAAACTAATGTTGCGTTTCCAGTTTCAGTCATGAAAAAAAAGGGTCAGTAGGTAGGGATTTTTCTTCTTTTAATTTAATTTTATTGTTTAAGATTTTGGCTATAATGATCCAACAAATAAAGTTTTATTTTAAATCAACACAGCATTAAGACTGTCCCATGGACCCATAGATCTGCTTGCTTGTGCACCAATATTTCAGCTGATTTACTGAAAAAAAAGTGATTCTGAAAATTCATTAAATGATGTTTCAGAGGGATTAAAATTCAGACATCACATCAAAAATTGTATAGCCTTACTAGTGGTTCATTAAGAATAGGATAGGGGTGGCGGGTTCTTGCTAGGGTCAGTTAGAAAACTGGAAACACAACATTTTTCCCTAAGCCCTACCAATCATTTTTATGGTTACAATGTGGTGATTTCAATAGAATTCCTTTTAACAACTTTTCTCTCTCTCCCTCCCACTAAAAATACTACAAACCATTTCGCCAGTTAACCATCCACAACCAAAAGGTACAAAACACCACTTGCAAGTGAATGCACTGACTGTAGATGGTTGTTTGTTGTAGCTGGCTTGTCCATACAATTTACACATCCAATACCACAGTGGTCTATATGCCATTCCGTACACCACCAAACTAGTCATAAAATGTTCAATGACAATTTATCACCATCAATATCATAGGCAGGCACAAAGTCATCTTTAGTGGTCGTTTATGAGACGTTATTGGACCAATTGTCGTCAGAAATATCAGTGTAATTTTAAAATTAAGACTGATTACATGAACATCACTGTCTATAGATATATTGATAATGATTTTAAAGTCTAGACTGAATTGATGGCACAGAATTGTCCAGTGGAACATCTCTCTCTCTCTCTCTCCCATTTTTAACACTGTTTAGTAATGCACACCCATGAGTGCAGATGTAATTTTTTACAGATCATCAGAAATCGTCTTTCTTTTAAATGATTTTGATTGTAAATGTGGTCTTGATCTTCAAATTTTGTCAATGATCACACAGGCAAAACCTGTCGATTTTGTCCCTTTGTTGCCTTTTACAAAAAGTCGTTGGAATTCTCAACGACAAGGATGAGTGTGTAAAATTAAACAGCTCAAATCTTTCTGTCTCCCTTTCTCTCTATCTGTATACTAGGAAATTAATCTCTTTACAAAAGTTGATATGTACAGCTGCTTAAAATCATTGTTTCTGAGCTGATCACATGTAAGGTTATCTGTTATACTGTGTCTTAAAATTATGGCTCATCAAACTGGGTTGCACTGAGCATCCCTTGATGATTATTAAGTTGCACAAATTACAATGTCCTGGTATAACTGGAGTTAGCTTTACAGGAATAACTGAACAGGAGATTCTAGTATCTTTGTGAGTGTGTGTGGTGGGGGAGGGGGGCTGTGCTAGTATTGTGAGAGTGAGTTGTGGGGATGCCAGCATCCCGCAACGGTTTATCGCTACCGAGAAGTTTCCTTCTGTGTCCCTTGTGCTGTTTTTACTCTATAAAGACTGTTGTTACTCTGACAGACGCTGTACACGTACATCATAAGTGTCAATTTCATGGTACATACATGTACCTCTACTGTCTATGATTTGCCTGTGTTTTTTCTGGTGTCTATTTTGATAGCCTTGAATCATCAGAAGTCTTTTGGGATGCTCTGTAACAATGTTCTGGCAAGCCTGAATTTCTTTCCTGTCATTCTAATTTTGGGGGAAAATGTTTGAATCTTGACCCTCTGAAATGCTTGATGCATTTCCTGCATTTTGAGGGGCAAACTTTGTTAATAGCATAAGCTTAGTTTAATGACATCTCTTTCCATATCTTTACACATCAATTTTTGTGTCAAAGATGACAAATTGGGCACAATTTTTGTCCGTCAAGAGTGGCAAAATTCTGTCAAAAGACGGACAGATGGAAACTGGCTAGAACACTGCTCTGTAGTTAGCATAGAAACCACCTTCAGCGCACATATTGAAAGTATGACTAAGAAATGATTCAAGGCTATAACTCTTTGTATCAAAATAGAGAACTCTGGGCGGAGTTTTCTTTCAAGTAGGTTGAACAATACTGCTGTTTCTGGGACGTTCCAGTGGCTTTTAGTTTCAAAAAATCTCCCTGTACATTGTAGATTCTGTTTACTATAGTTATGAGCTGCACTAGATGAGAGGAGAGCTTGAAGATGATTCAGCTTTTATATCTATCTAAGGATTGTAACACTAGCTTTATCTGAAAACTTTTGGACAGGACAAAGCTATGTGTTTAGAAGTAAACCAGTATTCTCACGAATTCTTACTAGGCTGTACACTACCAAAGCCACAAGGTCACAAATCTGTTTTGAACACAGCATATATACAGTTCCATCCAACTATACATAGGTGGGGTGTGCTAGTAGTAGTACTACTACTGACTGGTTCACATGACATCAGGGTGTCACTCACACACGCACTACATCCAAACGTACATGTACACGATTACATCCACATGTACTGTGTAGTCATCATGATAGGAAAATAAACTTTCTTTTCTTCTACAAAAATAACAAAATATTCACCTGTCGGATCAACATTCTCGCCAAGGTGGGGGCGTTGCAATGAGTCTGCCATGGTTTATGAAGGGTTATACACACAATGCACACGCGTGGATGTATGATTATGATATATAAACACTACAAATGCCTGTACAAGTTAACTAACATCTACAATTGAAGAAATATGAGATACAAATTATTGATACTAATTGATATTTACAATTTAAACTTTTAAAATCAATTCCCTCATTCTGATTTGAAATGTTCTACTTTAGTCTACATCAATTTTGAGACAATATATCTCTTTTAAAATCTTTTAGAATTTCAATAATAATGGAGGCTAGGATAAAGAAAACAAAGGTAGCCTGGTGGGAAGTACAGAAAAGAAATAAAAACTTGTACCAATGCAGGAAATATGCTCAAACAAATGCGCATGTTTGCCTCTATCTACATGTATCTATAGAAGGCTAACAGCAATTATGCAGCCCATACCATGGTAGGGTTTCTAGGATAGGGCAGACTACATTTGTGCAAGTCAAGGCAAGTTGGAATTCCTATCCAGAAGTTCTCTCTTTTTTTTCCCCAAAACTTGTTTTCCATTTTGATTGGGGGCATTTCAGTGGGTTGGTGTTACAAGTGGGATGATGCTTGGTGCATTTTAGGTTTTAAAAATCATGGCTGATGATTTTACCCTCCAAACGCTCAAGCTAATGAAACATACTTGAGTGTATGTAGACTTCTCAGTGGGTTCAACATTTCTTTGAAATGACTGCAAGAAGTTCTGAAATATCTATGGTGGGGTCTGTGTATTGAAGTGCGTTCAGTCCAGGAAATGGTGATGAACTTCAAGTAATACTTAATTTCAGTGGGTTTGTTTTGAAGTGACATTCGAGTGGGTTTTCAAAACATTATTTTTTTCATACATCCAAGGTATGATCATCCTCAGAGTTTTCAGTGGGCTGTCCTTTCTAGAAAATGGAGTGGTTGGAGAGATCTTTTTGAGTGTAATAATTAGCGAGCCAGCTTCTACCAGTGGTGCATATGGCTGAGAAGAGGACAATAAAAAGCTGATCCAGAAAAGGCAATTCTTTCTACATACAGTATTCACATCCTGCCTTCAAGATCTAGAGTTTGGCTCAGATTTTACAGTATCTGTAACATCACTGAATCTTAACTATGTATAAAATGGGCAAGCTCTGACTACAGTTCTCTCTCTCTCTCCAACTGTTTTAAATGTCTATACAAACTGTGAATAAATACTCAGTACAAAGCCTATACATGACCTGAGAGGTCAGAGGTTGCAGGTCGTGAACCTTGACCTCTTTCCTTACAAGGTCAAAGGGCATGGCGACTATGCCTTGATTTGAGCCTCCACCATCATCTTGCCAATGGTTTTCTTGACGCGGAGTGCGGTGAGACGTGCATTGGGGTTGTGCGCCCAACATTCGCTCATCAACTTGGCCATAGGACGTAGCACCTGCACAGAAGAAACAAGACACGTTTCATTACCATGCCAACTGTGATACTGAAGAGACAGTCTACTCATGAGAAGACCTAAACAAGTACAAGTAAAGAGTCCCTGTACTGACCTCGTCAGTGTGCCACCTGTTAGGTATGGACGGTCGTTGCCTCTCCACACACACGACTCTCCTCATGTCCTCGTACGACGGGTCGTGAGGCACGCAGTCGTAGTACGGCAACTGGTACTCTTCTACTATCCCTGGAAAACAGCAACGGAAGTCATGTAAGCAGTGCTGTGTACCGGTTCACTTGGACTAGATCCAGACTTGTAAAAATGTTCTAAAAAACCTGAAAATTTGCAACTAGTTCTGGACTTACAATAATCCTATGTCAAGAAAACTGGCTTCCTGTCTCAGTCCTCAAAAGCAAGGGTCGGTAGGTAGGGATTTTCTACTGTTAAAAATTTTTCAGCTAAAGAAAATGAGAAACTATCAAACTTCGTAGGAGCTTACCTATATATGTAACACCATACAATACTACCAGGTCCATGTTCTATCAGATTCACCTCAAAACCAGACGTCCTTCTTACCTCCCACAATGCACCTCCTGGCTATCTCCCACAGCACCAGGCCGAAGGAGTAGATGTCAGCCATCTTGTACGCGTCAAAGCTGTTTTTGTTCATGGTCTCTTCCAGGACTTCGGGTGCCATGTAGCGCTTGGTTCCCACTCTCGTGTTTGGTGCGATATCGACTTCATTTGTTTCGCTGCAATGAATCACAAATGAAAGAAAATTTATTGTTATTCTCCTGACAACTCGTTGATTTCCAACACCGTACCTGCTTATCTTTTTCAGCACCACACCAAGAGAATATTTGTAAGACTACTGTGGCTATTAGTCATATCACATTAGTAATCAACAAGAGGAAAGATGCTGGTTAGTAGTGTTCCTTTTTTTTGGAATTATTGATATGTGGAAGTTTGTACATGTATGTACCTCAAGAGAGATTCCTCAAACCTACAAGAAAAGATTAGTGACTTTATAAGAAGCATTTGTGAGTGGGGTGGAAGGTTAGGACAATTGGCTCAGTTTTATTTATTTCAGAGACAGAGTAGAGAGATACAAAATAAGACAGAATGAGAAATACATAAGAGTATAATCAGAATTAAGTAGAATTAAATATCAAGCATATAGAAACTTAAGCAAAAATTAATTTTGCACAGAACTACATATGATTATGATATTTCATGTATTTTATGCATTTCTACAGTTCTGTTTTGCATTCCTACATTTGTTAAATTTTAACCAAGCGTTTCTCAGAAGAGGTAGGGTTTATATGGTGATGGTTTTTGTTCCTGTACCTCCAGTATTCCTCCACCCCACTCATGCCTGGGGTCCGAATACTCCAGCCGGAGTGGCCGGAGAGCAGGGAAGGGTCAGCGTCCGGGTTAGAGTGGTCACCGTATCTTTCGAGGGGTCAACAAAAGTGGTCAAAATTAGATAGAACACAAGCAAACTGAGAAGCAAATCATGTGGGCTTGAAAAGATGTTACAATCTAAACAGAACATGAAATAAATCACGAAAGCAAAAGTTGATCTTTGTGCTATTTAGTAAGAAACCTACTGTTATGGGATAGTTTGAAAATTTTGTTCCAGCTGGATGGAGACTTTAAACACACCGGTCTTACACTATATAGCAAAATTTCTATCACACATACATGGAAACAATGTCATATTTACAATAGGACAGTGTTCTAGCCAGCCTGAAATTTTTCGCTCGCTAGGTGCTTGCTAGAACACTGCAATAGGACCTACATGTATAGCATTGGCATCCTACATGTATGAAGAAATCAGACCCTACACTGGTCCTCTCCACATGACTTGGTGACAAATAAGGCTACCTGGTAGTAATCCGAGCAGACACCGCCATGATAGATCTACAGGTATCACTACTTAATGGGCCAGGAAATGAAATTTCCCACCTCATTCCCAAAGGTCAAAGGACAACGTACCCCGCGGCAAAATACGCCATTTCTTTTACTACCCGTACCACCTCTGGGTTTGGCAACAAAGCTATAACACAGGACCCAATCCCAGCTAATGCCTCAACAGTATTGCCTTTAAATGGGTTTAGAACTGATCTATAGCTCAAGTCACCATACTAAAAGTATCATAACATTTTCCGTGCGTAAACTTTAGAGCTGTGTTATGTAACATTAGATGATACAAAAAGTCAATTTTCTGGTCATTTCTTTACAAAGGAAGTTGAACCAACCCGTAGTAAATGAGTGCCATTTAGAATGTGGAGGTGCCAAAATATGACACCTTATGCATGTTCAAAAACTGACTTTTGATATTTCAATCTATTTTTCTGAAAGCTTTCTACCAAACCTCTTCCATGCACCCTACGCAGTAGTTATTCTCTAACAGGGACCATATCTGTCATGTCTCATGTGTATCCTTCTTTGAGAACATCCTTCGCTCTGTCAATCCATCCTAAGCTTCAGTAACAGACCTGAGTCAGATACTCAATGATGCAGGTAATGTAATTTCTCGCCTTACTTCCATGCCTGGCAAATAACACTCCCTCGAGACAACTAAATTTTCATTACTACTAAAAACTTGGCCCCTTTTAATGCTTTCTCTTATCACAGTTCTCTATAACCTTGCCTGATAGTATGCTATTGGTGGTCCTTTCCTTTGTTTAATGGTGCAGATAATCAAATCTTCTGTTTTAATGCTCCTTATATCGGGGAGATCACATTAGGAATGTTCAGCAATAAAAACAATGAAGCAGCAAAGTCTTTGACCCACAGTTTCAGTTAATTTGTTGGCTTTGAATTCTCCTTCTTTTTACCAAAATTAACAGCAAAAGAATGCAATTCTTAAATTTAAGGCTAAAGAAAGCTCATCCCCTTGTTTCTAGCAAGTCAGAAACAATGTAATCATAAACCTTCACACCATAATAGGAAGTCAGATTTGGATAGCTAAACCTTTGACCCATGCCCTTTGACCTGAATTCTACCCGATGACCCTACCTGATAAATCTGACAGCCAGACCCATATCGGCGATACAGCATGCGCCATTTTTCTTCACAAGGATGTTTTTGGACTTGATGTCACGGTGGGCGATCGCTGGCTTCCCCTGGGTGCCGAAGATTTCCGTGTGTAGGTGCGAGAGGCCGCACGCTGCCGAGTACGCCAGACGGAGCAGGCCTGCCCGGTCTAACGTGTTTCCTCGCAGGTAGTCGTAGAGCGACCCGTTCTCGTGGTAGTCGGTGATGAGGTACAGCTGAGTCCACGAGCCTGTACCCTTGATATCTGCTGCAATAAAACCTGTAAAGTACACGAGGCACGAGTCAGTATAGTCAACCTTCCAAGTGTGCCTTCCAAGTCTGGCCTTTCAAAGTCTAGCAACCTGATGAAATTATTTTCGGATTCTGGGTGAGCACAAAAGAACAAGAAATAGTCAGAGTTATCAACCAAGGATTAGGTTGTTCAAAAACTCATTCTATCCTAGACCTATTGCAGAGTGGAACTTTCTGCCACCAAGTACAGTAGGGGCATCATCATTAGATAGTTTTAAACAGTGTTTAAAGTTAGATGTTCCAGTGTTACGTGTAACAAGGTGTTTGGTGTAATGAAGCCAGCTGCCACCATGCCACGTACCGACAAAGCTGGTGTGTTACGCTGAAGGGCAGTTATACTGGCTATACCTATACAGATAATGTCTAACCACGTCTAACCCTCGGAAGACGGGGAACAACAGATGATAAACCGGACAGTGAGTGAGTGAGTGAGTAATAACAACTCCTTTTGGTTATGTATAAATATTGCCACTAGCTCACCTAGAATGTTCTCGTGCCTCATGAGAACAGTCTGGTAGATCTCTGTCTCGCGGAACCAGGAGGCCTCCTCTGTGGTGAAGAAGACTTTGATGGCCACGTACTCCCCTCTCCACTTGCCCTTCCACACCTCCCCGTAACGCCCTTTCCCAATACTGTGCAGCATCTGGATCTGTTTGGCTATGGTACGCTGGACCTGAGACAGATACAAGTTGGACATGTTACAGTAGTGGTAGAAATACTTCTTTTCCGTGTTCTAAAATATTGCAGAATGTCAAAATTTTGTTATGCAATTCGGAAATACTTTCTGCAAATGCATACTTGGATGGGGCAAAACTTGGACTTAACTCACTTAAGGATATGGCAGTAGTGGCGCAAAAAAAGTCAGACAAGGAGTCGACCTATGCAACAAGGTTGCGGGAGGATCTAAGGTCTAAGGTAAGGTAATGCATACTTGAAAGTCCAGATGTGAACCCATGGCATATGCAAAAGTGCATGTTGGCAAACATTTTACATGCAATTTGAAAAATACAGTCATGCAAAATTACTTGTATATTATAGAGTCAGTAGTAAACACAAAAGCTCTTGAACAATAGTCAACCCCTACTAGCCCTAGCCTGATTTTTTCAGTCTGCAAAATTGCTGAAAATGTCTCTAAATTCCTTAACACTGTTACAGTTAGGCCCTCTTTAGACTGAGAATGCTTTATTGGGTTGGGGGTGAAAAACTTTTCGGATGGGTTGACGGTTTCCAGTCTAAATTTGTAAGTCCCTCCCCTTCTACATGTGTGAAAACTACGGGAGACAGATCTACCCACCAGGAGGGGGAGTCCGGAGCCGCTGCCTGAGCTCTGCGACTGCTCGATCAGATCCTTCAGCGTGTCGCCTGGTGGGATGAAGGTCTCGTCGTGGTCACCGACTTCCATGTCGTACCGCGTGCCAAGTTCCCGCTTCTTATATCTGTGGACACAACAGTTGGTTATTAATGTCAGGGATGAGCATTATCAGTACCTGTATTTAAGGATGACTAAACAGAAACACAGAACAGTATTCAAGGTGCATGAAAGAAAATTGACAAAGCAAAATTTTCTTAGCACTTTTCCTGTCACTCACTCACTCCACACTTATTTAGTGAGAATATTGCAAACACTCTACCATCGGAAGTGCTGTACCCTTGTCTGTACCCGTTTGATGTCACTCTTGAGTATTCCATTCCAATACCCAACTCAAGGAAATGTATTCAAGCTGACTTGAAAAGCCAACTTCAAACAACTACTTCAGGACCTTCCAGGGAAGTTTTAACTGAAGTCGATAACTCTCAAGTTTCTCCTTTCTTTGGACAAGTACAAATAGCCAAAACTTGCAGCTGATGCCAGGCCTGGGGTAGAAATGCATTTCATGTTCCCTCAGAACTATTCTTCAAAAGATATTGGGAGATCCTCAGCATGACTACTGCCTGGAGCTGTGAGTAGGCAGGGAATATGGGTCAGAGGGCCACATGACCGATTACCCGGCACACAATATCCTGACTTGATGTATGCACTGCTACTGACGTGGCCTATCCGTTATTCTCCAGACTTTGTGTGCTGATGACATCCGTCTTTGCCTAAATAAAAGTGCATGCGCACGCTACCGTGGCACAATTTCACTTCTCCTACTAAATAACTTAACGAGAACAATAACGCTAACGACGCAGCAGCCCCCCTCTTTGCTACCTTCGCTGCGATAGCCTCTAGTAGTTCTGAATCGGCACGTGACCCCTGGCCTTCCGTTGTGTGCGCCCGGGCTGCAGGATACAGATAATGCCCTGCCATTAGTTGCAGTCAGGTCCGAGGAGGCACGAAATAGATGCCTCGCTGAAGAGCATACGCTATCTGAACCGCCCAGCCACTCGGCGATCAACTACGCCAGCATTCTCCGCGGCTAGTTTCATGCTGCAAAGCATTCGTTCAGGTGTAAAACTCGACTCGGTACATGTAAATCTTACATCTGCTGGGTTTTGTTAAGTAAGAGTCTGTTAACATTTGTGGAGCTACCAGAGAATATACTGGCAACATGTCTTTCACATCAAGACATCATGAAATATCAAATTTATGGAGGCATACTGAGGCATTTCTATGCCAACTTGTTGAAATTGTTAAACTTTTCAGTAAGTTGTGTGGTAAACTCACATACTACATATTGCCTTCTAGCTAGATGTATTCTTATCACGACATTTTGGTACTTTGATCTAAATGTTATGTACTCCGACAACTACAGAACGAAACTGCCGATCAGATCAGATGATGTACAAAGTTTCAGATGAGATCGTTTCTATCTGATGCCCCCTGGGCTAGCACAGAAATGGACTGTAAAGGTGTTTTCATTCCTGAAGTAAAGGCAGTTCGTCTCTGTCCAAACTCTTAATGTTCGGTGACCTATCAAGTACTGAAGTGTTGTCCCTAAAGACTGGGAGATAGTGCTAATGATGAGATGTGTGCCATTACTGGGGAAACCTTCAGGGTGCTGAAACTTGTGGGATAGACGTTTAGAGCCCGTCGGTAAGGTCAGTTTGTCTGTGTCACGACTGTGTCAGGGCTCAAAATACTTTTTTTCTGTATACCTGCACTGGTCCTGGTGACAATGAAAACTACCTGCACTGGACTGACTTTACCTGCACCACTCAAGACTTGGAGAAACTGGTCAGAAACAATTGCCATATTATTTCTTTCAAACTTGTAATTAACAATAAATAAAGCAAATAAAATTCAACATACATTGTACATTTGTACATGTATCTATAAACCCAGTACATGGACCAGTGCAAGTTAGGTGCAGGTAGACGTCAGAAAAACCTGCACAACCACCATTTTACCGGCACTATGGTGCATATGCAATCTGTATTTCAAGCCCTCTGCATGTAAATATGGTCAGTTATCCAGGACAGTTACTATGTCCCATTGGAAATTACTAGAAGAGCTCTGTACAAGGATAGCTAGGATGGCAACCTTCTGGCACTAATACAGGACACCCAGGAGACCTATTAGAGTAGATGTATAAGCCGGCCCTCTGTCCAAGTCCTGCAGCACTGCAAGTCAATCAATCAATCAGGCTTTCTCTGAGAAAAAAAGGCTCCATTTGGAAAAGTAACCCAAGAAAGGGTTTCACTAAGTTAATGTAATGCATATTAAGTGTTATAATATCTGCTTTGATGCTAGTTACATGTATTTTCTCTTAGCTCACTAAACCAACTTGCTTTATCAGAATTTAGCGTAAGAAATATTTCATAAAGAGGGAGAACTTGCATTATGGAACTCCACAGACAATAAAGAAAGCATTTTCCAAAGTTCAAGATAATTGGTCCTTGTGGAACATTAGAGACATCTTGAGGCTCTTAAATACCATGAGTGCTTACTACCTTGTCACTAATGAAGCCTATAGAGAATACATGTAGGTGACTTTTTGACTATCTTGTCATTTAAGTCTCTGCACTGTAGATGATTCCACCATTCCATCCCCAAGGAAAAGGAAAATCTTTCATCAGAAAAAGAAATTATAGAAACTATATTTTTTTCCAACTGCATAAAGGCAATTTGAGGCCATACCAGTTTAATTTGTTTGTTCTTGGATTTTTTTCAGAAATATGTGAAGCGAGGGGGCTAAAATAAAAAAAGGTCAAGGCATTCTATGATAGCCCCAAATGCTACAATTACAATGTAGAGCTGTCAACAGACCAGGCTGGTTTGTAATTCAAACAATGAGTTTTGAACTTTTAATCAAGCATTGTTAAATAGAAAAAAAACTGCTAGGAGCACAAGGACTTTCTTCAACTGTTGGGTCAAAATATTGAGCATTTGGACTCAGAACCTGAATGTTTTTTTTTTTTTTCAAATCATTACAAAAATGAAGCAGGGGATTCCGAGAACCAATGGATGAAATTGTTGTGGCCTGAAGGAGAAACAATTTAGTAGTTGATTCGCCAAATAATGTGGGCTTCCTCTGAAGAAAATCTGTCTGCATAAAAAACTGTTGCATTGCACCAACTCTGTCCTTCAGACTAAGGCACTTCACTTTCCTCAAGTCATTTTACTGTCCATACCGAATCTTCCAGAGTTTCTCAGCACTTTAGTGACACCCGCAGGGAAAACGCAGAGTACTTAATGTAAGAAAATTTCCATCATTTTCTTAAATGGCCACTTTAGGGAACATTAGGATAGATCCTGAGCAGTACAAATGAGGATGAGTACTGGTGCTGAAGTTTCACAAAGCCTGTCTTTAAGGGAAACACATTATTTAGGGGTTAAGTATACATTTGTGTGAATGTGGGGTGCTAGGTGGCATTTCTCAGCGAACAAATTTGTGAAAGTGGTCTTCAGGGAGGGCTTCTGTGGAAGATTTCTTTTTAAGAAGCAGACACTCTTTCAGAAGAGGGGATTTCATGCTAATACTAAACATTAGTCATTGTGCAAAGTATGGAAGCACAGTAAGGTAGGAGGGGAATTCTGCAGTGAAGAGCAAAACATTCTACATATATGTATGTGGATTTGAGTGTATACAACTTTGGTTCTTAATGTACGTCACCTGAGTGCAACAAATGTACAAAGTCGGATAAATAGCGCTGTCGTCACTTTTTCAGCAGCTTTGTGTGGCTGGATATACAACGCTGACAGTTAAAATCATCACCTTACGGTTACCTAATCCGTCAACATGGTCATCTCTCTGCAGTTCAAAAGATGAACCATGATTCAATATCCCCGTGATAGCTTGGGAAGAATACCAACACCGAAGCAAAGGATTTGTAAGGACTGAATAGGTGATGGGAAGAGATGACAACTTTGAAGTATTTCATACATTGAAAGAGATTTCTATGCAGTTCTTTGGTACACAAGGTTATCAAGCCATCGTATAACCAATCAAAAGTCTGAATATGAATCTTAATGATCTTCACAAATCCATCTTTGCTTATCGTGCACTTTTTTGCAATACCTGTGCAAGGGAGCAAATTTCTCTAAAAGAGGAGGATTGGGATGTAACTATAAATCAATACTGTTAACATCTCTGCTATTTGTTACGGTTTTTGGAGCCAGCAGTATTTTTTAAAGAATCTATGTGCTGTATACCTAGTGTAAAGCTGGAGTGTTGTGTTATCTTCCTCTAGGTCGACTCATGTGGTTGCCAGCTAAGAGTGGCAATTTTTCAAAGCTCAGATTCACCAGCAAATAGCCCATAAATTCAAACATACTTACGCATCAAAAGTAAACTGTTGACAACAGAGTTTGGTGGCTGTAGTGCCATTCCATGTTGACAAGTTTTCAAGTTTGTGTGGGGTTGTGTGGCGTAACAGAAGGGTGTTCGGCTCAGAAGATTCTGTGTTCGAATCCCGCCATGTCACCGATCTTGTGCCAATATGGGAAAGGCACTTAACACGAATTGTCTCACTTAACTCAGGTGAAAATGAGTGCTGGTAGCTTTGGTTAAATGAGTGCTTGTTATGTAGCTTTGGTTAAGGGACGTCCCTTGGATAAGACATTAGACTGTTAGTTTCCAACTGTTATGTCGGGAAAGATATTGCGTGCAACAGGAAAAATGCTAATGCAATGTTGACCAAACATCCAACTACAATCGTGAAAATCAGGGATTTGCGTAGTCGCAGTACGTTCTGCCGACGTGCTGCCCACCCACCCAATAACAAAAAATTTCTCTGCCACACTCCTCACTCCCTCAACAGAACTTGAATGCCAAGTAGTTATCATTAGGGCATTAGCACCCAATAAGAACCAAGGTTAGCACAAATTGCACACGCACAACCCTGTAGATTAATCGTATAGAATGCACCCGGCTACACGGACTACTCTGATTATGTCACAACTCACACGGAGACCAAATGAACACAGATGTAACTGACATTTGCAGTGTGTCAGGAAGGAGGAACTTCGCTATTACTAAATACCACGGCTTGACCTGTCCCTGGGAAGGCGCTACGCCGGAAATGTCAGCCAACGCCATTAGGCCGGACCAATCGTGTTTAACCGACCAACGTCTGCTCAAAAATGCAAGACACAACAGGAGTGTTTCTATTTTTTTAACGACGTGGAATGTTTAATTTTCTGAATACGCAATTTTGGAAAATTAAGGCACACCAACTTGGTTGGTTCTCTGATTTTCTCACAAAAAATAGACAAAGCCACAGGCCTAGGCAGCCTATGATATAGTATGATAGCCCTGAATGCTATCATAGGAGCCATGAAGTCAACATACTATAGACCAGTTTGGTTTATAATTTCAAACAATTAATCTTCATCAAAGCACTGCACTGTTACATGATTGTAACAACTAGGAAGACAAGGACTCTAAATCCTCAATGTGTCCAAAATATGAGCATTTGGAGTTGATCCAGAACTTGAATTCTTTTTTGCAAATCATCAAAAAATGATGCGAGCTAATCCAAGAACAATTGTAGTGGCCTTATGATATCTTTTCATGACTTTCTTTACAATGTTTTTCCCATCTTCACTCTATTTTTCTGGTATGGAAAGGGAACAGTATTTAATAAGAATATCGTGACAGATTAGAATGTCATATAAGATGAATGAACAGCCCTACTCTTGCCACTGCCATTAATATAGCTCACTAGCTGTCACCATGGACAGATTCAGGTACAATACCGCATTTCTGTGCACGAACTGGTGAAACTTTACACTGATGTGGGCCATAAAAATTACTATTTATAGGTAGGGTTAATCTAATTTTAGGCTAAACATATGTAATCAATTGGTTCACAGATTTCCCTGCTTCATTTCTTCTGGTCTGCCAAAAAATGTAAGTACTAGTATTCAGGTTTCAAAATGCTCATATTTTGGCCTCAATTTTGGCCCGACAGTTGTTACAGTTTTTCCATATAACAATGCAGTTTGATCAAAACTTCCAAAGCACATGTAATTGTTTATATTAATAAATCATCTTGGTATGTTGACGTCATGGCTCCTATCGTAAATTTGGTGGCTATATTATAGGATGCATAGGCCTGTTTTTATTATTTTTCTCCCTGTCGCTTCATTTTTTTTCTGAAAAAATCTTTGAACCAAGAAATCAAAATTGGCGTGGCCTATGGATAACATTTACCATTAGGTCCTAAATCTGGGTTGAGAGTGAGAAATGAAACCTACACTAAGCAAAGAAGGTCTTGCAGTGAACACATTACAACATACGTCTTTATGTGCTCATTTTTTCCCGATGTGAATGTTGACAGCACGTGTTCCTAACTGTAAATTGAAATCAATTCGAAAGCGAGCCTTAACATCCCCTCAGATTCAAGAAAAATGTTTCCTTATCTCCAAGAATTGACAGCAAGACATCCTTCTTAGTTAAGTTCTTAGCCAGTCATCCGTTAAGTCATTAGGCAATAATGAGGATGTGGCTTCTTTTCTCGCGGCTTGTTAAATATTACAGACAGACATTCCGATACATCATGTCGTATGACTGTTCCCTCCAGGACTGCCTGGAAGTTAATGTGTTGTAATCTGAAGATGAAGAACGTTACACCAACCCCAAGTGCGTCGTTCTGCGGCTAATGAGAAAGCCCTCTTCGAAATTAAGACATTTATCTAATTCTTCAGGGAGAACTTTGATGTCTTTGCTTTTTTGTGCGATTTCTGTGCAGTCTCTCAAAAAGATGTCATGACAAATGCATGCATGATGTGTTGAGATCTAATCTGTTCTTTTTGCCGTGGTGTCCCACAGGAGACTGGCTCTCTCAAGTAATTATATATTTCCGCGGAAAAGCGTGACACCTTTCACATTGACGAATGAACACAGCGCCTACCTCCCACCCTATCTCACTCCACGAGCCGCTTTCTTGCGAAAAACCATCCATGTGAAACGTTTAGCTAGAGCTGGGAGCAATTTTCATATAACCTTCCCGCTTGACGAATGTGCGTCGCCTCCAGTTTGGTGCATTTTGCGCCAATTTTGATCAGACCGAATCGCGCAGGTGCTTTATCTGCTACGGCACACTCTTCCACTCTTTCCTCCAACCATGGATTAGCTTTCCCAACTTCTGGAGAGTATCGTTTGTTATCTTGAAGGTGACGAATGGATCTTCCCGGCGCCCTAATATTTTCTCTCTCTTAACGGCCCCGGTTTACCCGAGCTCTCGTCTGGCAGAATGAAGCAGTATCAAGTTGTCAGGTGTGATGAATCAGTGGTACCACACCCCTACGCTGCACACAACCGTGCAAGCTTCGCAAGCTGTTTACCCCACGCATACACAACTCTTTTTCTTAGGAGACGCCAATTTGATTTGTTGGTTCTCGGATTTTTTTCATTGAAAAATTGTTAAGTTTCAAGGCAGGAAAAATAAAAATATACAAATTTAAAAAAATAAAAACAGGCTGAGGCATCCTATGATAGTCCTGAATACTACAATAGGAGCCACGAAGTTAACATACTAGGTTTATTCCAGTCTGGTTTATAATTCAAACAATGAGTTTTGAACTTTTAATCAAAGCACTGCATGGATAGATGGGGAAAAGCTATCCTCAACTATTGGCAACTTGAATTGATTCAGAACCAGAATGATCCTTTTTTTTTGCAAACCAGAAAAAAAATTAAGCGGCCAAATCTGAGACCCAATTGATTAAATTGTTGTGGCCTTAGCCCAGGTTCATGCACATGTGGGGCCCAGAAAGTTTAAACATGAACATTCTTGGCATCTTGCTAGGACTGGACTTCAGACAATTTTACAACATGTATTTACCTAAAAGGGAAACGGGCGGTTTTCTGACTGCAAACCTCAAGAGAGTCATGTACCATCCTGGACAGATGATCCGAGATCAAAGAAACCCTCTGATTCTGTCTGCCTTTTGTGTCAATTTTATGCTGTAAACATCATGAAAATAGACTTTATCCTGCAATGTTTTAGGTTTCGATTCTGTTTGATGATGTAATCGTTGGAAAATAACCTATAGTTCTACTTCAACAGTGTCCTTTTTTTTACTTCAGAATCTGTAAGTTGTCATCCCAACAAGTCATGTCTGTTAGTAGAACCGGCAGTTTTCACAGATCACCAGAAGCGTGTCTTCAGTGCACGAGTCTACTCGCTGCCACGTCTCTGACGGCGCAGGGAGCCAAATCCGGAAACCGATGGAATCAGACCTGGTGCCCAGACGTCGTACATTCACGCTGACAAACCCTTTTCCTCACAAGCATGCGAGAATCAATACAGCATCGCACACATGTCAACAGTGATCCACACACTCTTGAGAGTTTCCTCTGCAACCCTTGTGTCAACGCATCTGTCAGCATTAAGCTTTCCATCTGGCATAAGGCAGTGACAGTACAAGACACCACATAAAAAAAACAGTCAGGTTGACTAACGTTCAAACGATCCGGCTTTGGCAGTTTCTTTTCATTCAATGCCAGCCGTTGTCGGCTACAATGTTTCACTTTGGATTCAAAAGGAGAAATATTCTTATGTAACACAAGATGTGAAAGGGCTTTAGCTTGGGATGGCTTTCGGAGTAGGTAACTGTCAAATGCAGGAAAGTCTTTATATTGTGAGTTTGTTTATTGTACAAAAACATGTATCAGTTACCAAGCAGTTCAGAGTTCTTGTTTATCACTTAAAGTAAGTTAAACATGGGCATCCAAGGATCCGTGTTGGGCACTGATTTGACTTTAGAGTACATCTTTTTTCTCAGAAATTCTTATAAGACTTTTCTTCTTTTTTTCACAGATGTACCTTTATCCATATCAATCCATCAGACTCTGTAATCATTCTTTACCCATCTCTATCCATCCATCCATCCATCCATCCATCCATCCATATATCCATCCATCCATCCATCCATCCATCGATTCAAACATTCTATTACACAATTTCAACTCATTTTCAAACAATTGCTTCTGTTTTTGAACAATTGGTGACATTGCTGAAGTCCTTCTCCCCTGACTCTAGACTCACCTGAAGTAGACAAACGCTATGGTGAGCATCAGTACTGTGGTACACACAGTCACACTGATCACCAGCGTGATGTGGTGTATGCTGGGGTCGTAGTACGCATTCGGTGGAAGACCTGTGGCAAAAAAAAACAACACCGATAGCAGTGTTAGAAATACATTTTTTTAGTGTTCTGTAATTTGCAGAATGTCAAAATTTTGTTTCCAAGGGCACAAGACCAGTGGCATGGCAGGATTCGAACTTGGGATCCCGTGCATGAATTACGTGCCCTGGTTGTATTGCTTCCGTCTGTAACAGTTCATTCTTACCTGGCGTGTCATTGGCAGAGGGCGGGAGGGTTGCGTTGAGCTGCAGGTTGCACATGTCTGTGTCCATGCAGCACTGGATGGCCCGCGGTATGCTGTGGACCTGGGCCTTACACTGTAACAGTATACCCTCTGGTCCGATACAGCCGTGTGAAACGATCTGTCCACCGGCCAAATCAGACTCCACCTGAACAACAGGGAAATAGAAACATCGTCAGAATGTAAGAAGAAAATGGAGAGGACTAGAAAAGCGTGGACTGCTTTCAGTTGAAGAATAAAACTCACAACACTATAATACATTTTCATACAAAAATGGGAGTATCTGTGTAAGTTTGCATTCTTAGGCCATATTAATTTAATTTGTATTAGGTGAGGAAATGATGTGTACCTGCATGAAGCAGCGTCCATTTGGCTTGGTGATACAGGTGCCGTTCTCCTGGTTCTCTGGACAGTGTTTGGAGCAGTAACACTTTATACTCCGTCCTTCTGTGGTGGTCATCGTCTCTTCAGCTGCTGTAGGAACAAAAAGAATAAATATCATCAACAACCATCCACTGCTTTTCTAGTAATGTTGTACACAAACAAAAATATACAAAATTCTCTGCAGCAATGCATGACAGGATAACCATTTTCAAACTTTAACTTTTTTTCTATATTATATCTGCTACCCACCTACCAAATATCATTAAGATCCATTCACAGCTTGTTAAGTTATGCTGAACACTTATAATCAACAAATGCATAAAACCCCACTGCAGTTCCACTGGAAAAAGCCAGGTGGACCATTTCCGCAACAGCTACCCACACATCAAATATCAAAAAGATCCATCCACAATTACTCAAGTGACAGCATCGACCTACATATAGACACACACCAAAGACAAATTTTACTCTACGATTTGCATTTAAAATTTTTTGAAAACCAAGGGAAGTCTGCAGTCTGATTTATGGATTTCCATACAAACAGACGTAAATAGAATGTTGGAAAATGTATGAAAGCTACCGGGTCGTAAAGATTTCTCCACCTGTGACATATGTTAAGTGGTGCCATAAAAATGCCAGGTACTCCATATACTGGCAACAGCACCTAGCTTGTTTTACGATGGGCAATAAAACGTTTCATTTGTGGCTCCTGGCAAAAAGCTGACAGATACAAAGCTGAACTTCCCCCTCCGCTCACATACATGCTATAAAACACCATAAAGGGATGCCGGTATCTCTAGTGATTACGGGGATTACAGATAGGTGTGAAAAGAAATAGGTGTCATAAAAATGACATAAAATTAGAGTTTAACAGCCTTCAGATTTTTCACTTGAGACCAGTCATATTTTATGTACATCAACATACATGCTACGTAACTTTTAAATACTGGACTACACAGTATATGAAGATTGTGACCCTTTCCTTTTTTTTGCTCAAGTGGTTATCGAAAGAGTCTTAGCTTTCTAAACATTTGAATCACATTGTGTAAAAACTATATACTGGGCAGGTCTTTGAAAAGAATGTGTAAAATATTCATACACAGTCTTCGAAATTGAAAGCATATCTATATGTTAAAAGATACACTTCAACAAAAAGCCTCGATCGATCATTTAAACGTCTACTTCGTCCACAGTTGTAGGCAGTTAGGTGTCAGTTACTGTCAAACCCTGTTAGTAGGCTTAAAATATTAACAACTGTACTTTCAGTGATATAGACTTTGTAAATACTAAATGGGTTCATGTCATTTATATGCTACACAGTCGATACGTGATGTGTCAATCCAGCAATCTAGAGACTCTTGCAAAGTCGTTTTTCCTGTCCCTTTTTTTCAGACCATTTTTAATTCTATTCAATACTAGCTTGCAATAGGTAGCTACGCCTTCCTTCCAGATGGTACAATTAGCAATATTAACTTTTTTGAATGACTTGAAATCTAGTGAATTCTAACATTGACAACCATGTTGATTGATAAGACATGTTAAAAGCTTTGGATTTGGGTTGAAATTTTGGGTTCTGGTATGTATGTGATCACGTCTACATTTAGCCAATTCAAGGGTTCTTTATAAAAATGTATAATTTCAACTCTTTATGGTTAAAAATACATGTAGGAAAGTGATCTCGACGCAGTTTTAGCTCACAGAAGACAGATGCTATGTACAGTATTTACAAGCTCACTGTACCAGGGAAATTCCCCTAGTTCTTTTTGGCAAGTACAATGAAGAGTGGACCACAGCTTGCACCCCTTCTAGTAGCATGCATGTCGGTTGAGCAACAACAGCAGGGATTGGAACTCCCAACCTCTTGGTCCAATGGCAGGGCCGCTAACCACTGGACTATGCATGCTACAGTTAGTACAAAAATCTTTCACTGCCACAAAATATTGACTTTTACATTGTGACCTTTGATTTTTCATTATCATGATTGCAATCTTTCTTGAAAACAAACTTTAATTGCCATCAATTTTCCCTCCGCAGCTTTGTCACAATAACTATAACTGCAAAGGAAATAAGTCACGCAGCTAGCAGACATTTAGAACAACTATTACAACCTCAAGGGATGCTTTTCCACAATTACCAGAAATGATTATGATCTGTTAATGCCTGTAAACACCTTCAAGCCTGACTTTTCAGCGTAAAACTGCGTGCCCATCTGTCGTTTCGCAATCATGAAAATAACCCGACTGTCGGCTCGAGATAAGAGCGGGTGACGATTCGGGGCTTAAAATGACTTTGCGGGAACGTGTCGGACGCAACTCACAGCACGCCGCCACGAAAACGACGATATCACCTAGCAACAAGCGTGCCATTTCCCCAATCAGGCTTCCCCACACCGCATGTGGGCAGTTGTGGGATTAGGTACGATTAACAGTTATTATGATGGAGCATTAGGAACCTAAGACCTTAATGTCAAGATTACAGCTATTATCGTAGGTCGGTGCGACAATACTGGCATTAAGAGGGGATAAGGGCCAAGATACCAGGCATACATGTACTAAACGTAGACGATAAAGGAAATCTCTACATCCACATTATGATCACAAGTGGTCGTTTAAAAGGTAATCATGTTAGAAAACACTAGAGATGACTGGGTTTTAAAAGGACAATGTCGCAAACTTCTTTTAAGTGCATTTTTTTTAACGTTATTTTCTAAAAGTTTCTGAGAAGCATTATTTTAGCATGTACTTATCTATAACTGGGTACTTCATGTTGAAATTCCCTATCTGTCTGGTTTATGAGAATGGTGTTGCTTTCATGATATTGAGTACTGGTACCTTCAACTGTTTATACACAAAAGTGGCTAAGACAGTATGGGCAAAGTTTGTAACTTTTTTCAACAATTGCCAATGTGAATATATACTTTAAGATTCTTTATCGACTTGACAAAAGTATATATGTATATAACTATGAACAGAGTATATTCAGTAGCAACATTAAAGGTTTAACAATTCTCTAAAATGCAGTCTCTAAAATATAAACATTCTTTACTGTATTTCCCTATTTGCACAATGTATCTCCTCTTAAAACGTACTACACTCTACTACACGAGACCTTCAAATAACCTATAAAAAATTGCCCCCTCTCCGAATTAAGTTCAAAATTCTAATAATCTTGGAAGATTATGAAGAATTGCCGGTGTTGGGAAAAATCTCTCCTCCAGCGAAATGTGCAATCATCATTTATCAGATGGCACGGTAATATTAACCCAAACCCCAGAGGGTCAGGGGGGGCCATAAAACTTCCAGCAGAGAGCCTCTAGGGTAGTCTGGTTATAAAACATTAGTATGGCGCTGTAGGGGTAGGGGGGTGGGCATCGATCAGGGTACACGGTCCAATGTTTTAAAGCTGCGATGTGTAAGATTTGGGCGATACAAAAAGCCAACTGTCTGATCATTTCTTTACAAAGTAGGTTGAATCAGTCCTACTCCATTACAAATAATTGCCATATTTTAGGAACTGGAGGTGCCAAAAGTTGATGCCTTACAAGTGAAACACTGCTGTCAGCCATGTTTGTTCACATTCTGGTAGTTTGTGGTGGCACCATAAACTGGATGTGCCTCGTGAGGGCTGTTTTAGCGCCAACCATAAATGTCAGAAATGTGAGATAATCGCACAAATATACAATCACACCAATATTTCTTTGAATAAAATATTTCAATTGTTGGTGTAGCAGACAGCAGTGCTTGCAATATTGAAAATCACATCAGATGTCTCATATGACTTCGATGGTTTTTACCTACTCAGGAAAATTGACTTTTTTTTAAACAAAAGCACCTTTTTGACACTTTTTAGAAGTTCCTTAGAAATAGAAAAGTACAGCAAGGGAACTGTTACCAAACGGCATCATTGGTGAGTTAAACTTATAAATACCATTGCCCTTAAATTCTGTATTTACTGTTTCCTAATGTTCATTACAGTACTTTTTGCTTGGTTCACATCAAGCAAATCTTTTCTAAATCTGCGACATATTGAAGTTCTGTCCCTGTAATTTTAAGTAAAGCTTCTGAGATCTAGTGGCCCATGGAATAATGTCTCCCTCCCATAGCAATAAAAGCAATATTCATTTGTCACTTGTGATCTTTCATAAAATAAAGTCTCTTGGGTCAGAAGCCTGGTGATCGGGTAGAGCAGCCCTCAAACAGTCAGGCGTAGGAGGGACCAAATAGATGTCCACCCCCCGGCGTCGACACATTTTCATCAATTGCCGGATCATTTCTATCAGATTTGCCCAGATTTTAAGGACCCTACCTACATCGGGGGTGAATAATTCAAGTTGGGAAATATCTGCCGATCTGGCGATGAAATTCATCCCGGAGAAAATTACCGTCGGCCTGAATGCTTACCGCGCAATTTCGGGACAATCTTTGAGTAGCGCAGTTTCTGTACTTTTCGTAACATGAATCTACCACAAAACACTGAAACAGGGGCAATGCTTGAAATATTTTTACTGCATAACTGTACTAGTGCAAGTAACATTGAAAATTTCAGTACCTGCACTGGACAAGTTTTACCTGCACCACTCAGATTTGAGAAGTTAATGGATCATACTAAAAACTTTTCAGAATCGACTGACGTAATGTTTTAACACTTAATAGATGGTAACATACAGTGCAGCAAATAAAAAACAACACACGCCTACATCATTTCGTACATAGAATCAGTGCATGGTCCAGTACAGGTTAGACATCAGAAATACCTGCACAGCTCCAATTTCACCTACACTAGGGAGCATATTACCCAGTATTTTGAACCCTGGTCAGGTTTTTGTCCATACGGACAGTTCTGCCATACACACAGCCATTATAAATAATTCAATCTCTTGATCCCACACACAACATCACTAATGACACCATGACAGGCAACACACGAGAGAGAGGGTACCCCTACAACACTCTTTACCAATCCCCTCAACATTTCTCTCAAAAATAATCAAACTTACGCCTCAAGAAAACATCGAATGACCGCCAAGAAATCTGCAACACCGAGGGGGGCAAAAAATTTCCCCAAGGTCCATTTTGCGGAACTGCGCCATT